TGGTTGTACAAGTTTGCATTCCCACCAGCAATGGATAAGTGTACCCCTTTCTCCACAACCTCTCCAGCATAGGCTATCATTGGTGTTTTTGATTTTAGCCATTCTGACAGGTGTAAGATGGTATCTTAAAGTTGTCTTGATTTGCATTTCCCTGATCGCTAAGGAAGTTGAGCATGACCTTAGGTGTCTTTTGGCCATTTGAACTTCTTCTGTTGAGAGATCTCTGTTCAGCTCAGTGCCCCATTTTATAATTGGGTTGATTAGCCTTTTACAGTCTAGTTTCTTGAGTTCTTTATATATTTTGGAGATCAGACCTTTGTCAGTTGTGGGGTTGGTGAAGATTTTCTCCCAGTTAGTGGGTTGTCTTTCTGTCTTAGCAACAGTGTCCTTTGCTTTACAGAACAAGTGGTTGCTGGGAATGGTGTCCACTCATCACCTAACACCAAACACAAACTGGATTCTGTTGCCTTGACACCATGTTGAATCATTTTGATACCTAGTAACAGAGAAAAGAACAAAAGTCCGTGTGCCAGGGAGCATCTGACCCCATCCCCTCTTCCCTGCAGTTGAGCTCCATGAGTGCTGTGTACGTTCTCGAATATGCACAGATGCTCCTGGCCCAAGGTCCGTTCTCCAGGGAGTTGCTGGTCAACAAAAACCTGGGAGTTGAGCTTATCCTTCTCATCTCTGGAGTCTGGGAAGCTGCCAAGGAAGACGGGAGAAAGGAGGACTCTCTGCAGGAAGAAGGCATGAAGATAATCTCTGACATGTTACTAGTAAGATGTTCTATCCGCCCACAGAAATGCAGCCACAGGCCTGGGTGCAGCTCAGTGGTAGAGTGTGTGCATGGCATGCATGAGACCCTTGGTTCCATCCCCAGCAGACACACAGACATGGACACAGACACATGCACACACACACACACACATACCAAACAAAATGAACAGCTGCTCCCTTCACACACTAACCAGTATATATACATGCATGCATACACACATGCATACATACATATGTCCCTTTTCCCATTGAAAATTTAAAGTTGGTTCCTGAGAGCTGAGCCACGGTTCTGGGTGGCAGCTCAGCACTTGGGAGTGTTCATCTGGAATGCTAAGTCTTCTGTGGCAGCAGTCTTGTGTGTCTGGTGTTAGGATAGATCTTCATTTGGGACTTGGGGGCATACTTTGTTTTCCGCAGAATGGCATGGAGTCACACAAAAGATTGCTTGGAGACATTAGCTTTAAAAGTGTCCCTGCTGAGCTAGGACTGTTTAAAAAGAGATGTCTATTGTATCTATTTCTGCTGCCACGGTTTTGAGACCTTGTCTCGGCTATTTCATTCTGATGAAATGGCAGTGTTCTGAGGAAGCAGTCAGTTAGTAGTAGAAGTCCATTGCTTTCCTTTCCCTGCCTTCCCATCCGCCCGAGCTTGCTGGTTTATTTAACTAATAGCTATCACAGTGCTCTGGAAATTGTAGATCAAATAATCCTATGCTTGAATTTGGCCTTTTGTCATCATTGTTCACATGCAGATGTGAAAATGTCTTCCGTCGGAACGTGTACTAAAGCTTAGGTTTGTGTACATACCAACCGGCCTAAAGGTCTTGAAAAGCCATCATACCGTCGAAACTCTGCTTATGAACTGAGAAGCACCGGGAAGCTTAGCAATGTTTAAGAAATTAATAAAATATCAGCGAGATGCACCCAAACAGGGAAGAGCCATTTGTGCCTTTAGTGTTACTGCCTTTGGTGTTTGGTACCCATTTGCTCATTCATCTTGCAAGAGTCCTCCCCTCCCTCCTGTGTTTGCAGACCTGTCTCTCCTTGGGCCACCAACATCAACTTCACATAAGCACTGGGAAGATGGAGTTCTGGACCCTGCTCCATCACAGCTTCCAGAAGTCTAGTCAGAACCTGGGCTTCATCTGGGTCCATTTCCCTGGCGACCTGGCCTTGCACCGTCCTGCTCAAGAGGCATCCCAAAGCCCATGCTACATCAGCCAGCTCATGTTCTTCATGAACAGCCCTTACCCAGAGGGACGAGCTCCTGGACAGGTACGGCACACGGCCTCTGCCACGTCTAATGGTGGCTTCAAATGCTCAGTGACCCGACTTCCATAAGAAAGGAGAGTAGGTTGGCACGTTCGCCCATTGTCCTTGTTTCCAAAGAGAAGCCACTTTGAAGTGGCTAAAGATCACTTTTGCTGTGTCCGAGGTGGCCTGTAGAAGACTGGTGGCGGGAAGGTATTTTCCAGAGACAGGGCCAGAGAGAGAAAGGAAAGAGTTATTAGACAATAGCACAGAAGGAGCTGTGGGCAAGTCTGAGGGGGAAATGCTTACTTAGCCTTATGTGGGGTGAATAGGTGGACTGGCTTCTCACCGTCTTCTTAATTAGTACAGCTTCCAGCACAAGTCCTCCTTTTTGACACTGGCCATTTGGGCGAAGGTGTCATAGGTCATTAAGAGTTAAACTCTAGTTGTTTACCTAAGATGTCCCAGGTGTCTGAAGTCAGGCTCCCAGAGATCATGGCCTGATTGTTCAAATATCAGGATTTCTGTTTTTAGTCTTGGTCTTCTGTCTTTACAAATTTCTCCAAAAAAAAAAAAAAAAATCTTAGCAGAACTAGGGCTCTGTGGTCTCTGATAGGTGGATCCACGCAGTATTCACCGTGGCGCCTTCCCATCTTTGTCAGGGAGTCTAGGGCCAGAGCATGTGGTGGGGTGGTCATGGCTCAGACAGGTTTCACTATTCCTAAAACCAACACAGAGTTCAACCAGAACAAAACTTGAGAAGGGGCTTCTGAAGAGCCACGAGTGTTCTCTTCCTCCACGCTAACAGAGAGGTGCATGTGGTCTGTCCCACATTGGGGGTGTGGAAGTCAGAAGGGACTTCCAAGGTCTTTGCACTTTGACATGACCTTCTACTTTCAGAATCCACAATGGCTTCTCGGACTGTGAATCACGTGGGGCAGGACAGGCAGAGCAGTAGTGAGCACAATGATAACCCCACCCTCTGCCTTCCCAGCTAGCTCAGCTCAGCGGGACCCTCCTCTTCCTCTTCCTCCTCCTCCAGATCCTTCTCCACCTTCTTTTCCTTGTCCTCCTTGCCCTCCTTTTCTTTTTCAGAAGATAGGTTCTCACTATGCAACCATTGGAGTCAGAGAGACCCACCTAGCTCTGCCTCCTGAGTGCTGGGACCACCACACCCATCCCAGATACTTCTTTTTATAAGAGCTCTTAATAATTTTTTAACTTAAAAAAGCTGTCATTTCAGCAAGGAAAACATACAAGGAGCATTAGCAGTGCCCCCCCCCCATCCACACAAATCCTGCCTGCCTATCTCGTTAAACTCATTTTGTTTGATCAGAATTGGACAGTATGACTTCACTTCCTGCTTTCCATTGCTTTGTTTTGGTTTTGTTTGTTTGTTCATTTGTTTCTTGAGATGGGGTCTCCCCACACAACCCAGCTATCCTGGAACTCATTACGTAGACCAGGCTAGTCTCTAACTCACAGCGATCCATCTGCCTCTGCCTCCAGGGAGTGCTGGGACCAAAGGTGTGCACCACCATCCCTATCTGCTTTTCTCCTTTGGGCCAACTGTCAGCTTCATTTTCTTTGTTCCCCAAGGTGGGCAGCGTGGTGAGCCCTAGACTCTACAGCTGCAAGAGCAGAAGCCCCATTCTCAGAGGACGGCTGGAGACACCTGTGACCGTGGAGTTTGGGGAGGAAGACTACCTGGTAAAGACAGCTGACCCACTGCCTCTGTTGCCTTTAGGCTGGGCTGGCTGCTTTCTAATGCATTTGCCTTCCCCAAGACAAACCGCCTGACTTGCTCTCTTTCCTATCGGCAGCACCAGAGACATCCAACCGTGTTCACCTTGCTTCGGGATGAGGTGAATCTCCACCGGTTCACCGGGCTTTCTGAAAATCCCCAGGAAACCTTACAGATACGCATCAAATTCTTGAATCCCAGAAGAAGAGCCTTCCCCGTCATGCTGCTAGTAAGGTGGGTGAAGGGGAAATGAGGTTGCAGCATGATGGAGTGTCCTTAAGTTAGGGGTGTTTGTGAACAGATGGGTGGATTCGTTCTGAAGGAATAATGAGGGCCATTGTCAAAGAAATTATATACATGCCTACATGTATAGAAGTATGTAATCTACTTAGAAAATGAGCTTCCATGCTTTTTTAAAAGTTAGATTTCCGCCTGTTAACTAAACTGAGAAACACCCGAGTTTCAGTCATACATAGCATGACACCACTTAGAAGTCTGATAACTCAACAGTACAGACCTGGACAGGAATTATTCTATTGTTCCCTCCCTCCCTTGCTTCTTTTCTCTCTTTTTTCCCTCTAGGAGAAAAAGTGTATTCAAATTATATTTTCCAAAAGACTTGATCAATTAATTCTCTCTCTCTCTCTCTCTCTCTCTCTCTCTCTCTCTCTCTCTCTCTCTCTCGGAGCTGTTGAGCATGTGAGATTAGACTGGTTTCAGGCAGCGGCTAGACTATGTGGAGAGGCTATTGGAGATTCTTTGGACTCTCAGGCAGAAAAGACTGCGAGAAGCCGCTGTAGTTACTGAGTGGCAGGTGGAGAGGAGCATTGCCTTCTGGAAGAAGCAGCTCTGTGTCCTTCTGTCCTGGGAGTCCCCTGTGTTTAGGCAGATGTTAACTGTACTACAGTATCTGCTTAGCCATGTAAGTCCTTGGTTGGCTGGAGGGAACTTGGGAGCAGTAGTGTGTCTGTCATGGCTCTGCTGGGCAGATAGGCTCCACACACAGCTGAGTCTTTCTTCACTTGCTCGACTCTATCCACCAAGGGAGCTGAGCCATTTGGGCATCTATTTGCTTAAAGAATCTAATTTTTTTACTTAGTCCTTCAGGTCACATACAAAAGGGAGGTGCTTGGAACTCTCTTTACCTGAGTAGTTAGAGGCTCTGATCTCTACTTTCCAGCCCCGCACTTCCTGGTATCACGATGAAGCATTAGATAAGCTCACATGTGCCCTGTGCCTCAGCACACAGCCAGGTCTTTGCTCTTATGCCACAAATATGCTCTATACTGGACATTATTCTTACTTTTTCATAAGTAGCTTCTGTTTGGTTTTGGCTTGTTCTTTACAGATATAAGGGAAAGTGTTATGTTTGTATATGGGAGGGGGTGGAGTTAAGGTGCTAAGTATACCAGGGGCTGAAGAACATTGGTTCTTTTTAGTCCTGACTATTCCCAACTATCCATTTCTAGGTACAAGTACGATCATCACAAAGTGAATAAGTAAAGTCTACACAGATGAGAAAAGCTGTTTCACTACCTCTCATTTGCCCCTAGGTTCTCCAAGAAGGCCACGCCTTCGGATTTTCTTGTGAAGCAGGTGTACTTCTGGGATGAGCAGACTGTGCAAATTTATGTACCTGCTCTTCCGTGGAAAGGTCAGTGGGTGCATGCTAAGCCTTTGACATCTGTCTTCCCTAACATCTCTATGAGGCACAGTATCATAGATTTCCTGGTCATGTAGCTCTTACAGTCTTTCCATTCTTCTGCACTCTGATTCTTACAAACGAAAGTCTTGGTGTGTTTTATTTTCACTGTAAATCCCCCAAAGCAGGAAAAAAAAAAAACTGAACCTGGTGCACCTTTTAGTCCTTCCACCTGCATTTGGGGTGGAGCATGTTCCTTGCATAGTTCACATGTGTTATTGATATGTCTTATCCCCTTTTCTAGGAGCCGATGTGGGGTATCTGTCCCTGCTAGATGCTGATTATGACAGGAGACCTCCAAACAAATACCTTGCTGGTGCAGTAAACTACACAGTGCATTTCCAGTGGATCCAGTGTGTGTTTTGGGACAAGACAGAGTGGAGATCCGAAGGTCCCTGTCCGCAGTCTGGAACTTCTCCTGAGAGAGTCAACTGTAGGTACGAGTCTCCTGCTGGGGGAAAGCCTGGGGATTTTAACAACTGGCTCCATTTTCGCCTGCATTTGTGTCTGTCCCTGGGACCTTCCATGAGTGGTGTCCTCTCATGAAAGCTGGGCAGTCTTGATTGACGCTCCTTAACAGACCGTGCCTGCTACACCAGTCTGCATGTCAGTCTTGTGGCTCCCAAGGACAGGGGCTGTCTGCTGGGCATCCCATCTGAGCCACCTGTCATGACGGGCATGTTGCAGGTAGTTGCTGGTGCCCACGGAGAAGTGAGTCTGCAGATGAGCCTATGAGTCCATCCAATCCTTACCACAGATAGATGTGGGCATGCTGTGACTACGTGCTTTGTAGTCAGGCAGGCAGATTTTTTGTTTTGTTTTGTTTATTTTTTTTTAGTTGTTGAAAAAATTTCCGCCTCTTCCCCATTTCCCATCTCCCTCCCCCGCCTCCCACACATCACCCCCTCCCCTACTCCTCTCCCCCTCCCCCACTCCATTCCCCCTCTCTCTCGAGACTGAAGAGCAGTCCAGGCAGATTCTTTACTGCTACAGTCCCTGCCTTTGTGAGCAGATGAGGGGACCGGGACGGAAAAGTAACTTCACGTGGAAAGAGAAGTCTCTGCATGGACACAAGCAGCCTTCTTAAGATATCTGGGTCATATCACTAAAGTGAACACTATTTATCAATTTAATGATCAGTTTAGTCCATTCATTTGTGCTGCCCTTTGGGTCTGTGCTCAGAGTGGCATGGCGGGTCATACAGTAGGTTCTCCTTTTAGCCAGAGTAACTGCACCAACTCCATTCCTACCAACAGTAATAAGGGCTCCCTTCTCCCCCCAGCTCACCAGCATTTGTTGTCTCTTGAGTTCTTGATAGCAGCCATTCTGACTAGGGGAGATAGAATTCCAATTCTAATGTGAACTTCCCTGCTGGCTAAGGGTCTTGAATGCTGTTTCAAATGTTCACTTGCCTTTATTCTTTTAAGAAGTCTCTTCAGATACATAACCCATCTGCAATTGCATTGTTTGTTTTCTTAATGCTTAGGATTTTTCTTAGTTCTTCATATAGCTAGATTTTTTTCTGACTAACCTTTTTTTTATTTTTCTCTTACTGAAATAGATTATTTTCTCATGCAGTATATCCTGATAATAGCTTCCTCTCCCGCTATTCCTCCCAGTTATTCCCTAACTCTCCTCCTGTCACGGTCTAGTCCCCTTTCTATCCCTCATTTGAAAAGAACAGAGTTCTAAGAGATAATAATAATAATAATAATAATAATAATAATAATGATAAAATATACTAAGATGAAGCAAAAGTTATCATATCAAAGTTGGAAGTGCCAACCCAACCGAAGAGTCCTAAGGGCAGGCACAAAAGTCAGAGACCCTCATTCTCAGTCAGGAGTCCCAGAAAAGTATTACCTAGACAATAATCCCCTTCCAGATAACAGCTGGCAAAGATTGTCCTCCGTTCTGTAGGCTGCCTCGGCAATCAACTGGCAGTTTCATTTGCTGTGCAGGTTTTTCGTTTAATGAGGTTCCCTTTGTCAGATGTTGGTCTTATTTCCTAAGGAGCTAGAGTTAGAAAGCCCTCCCAAAAGCCCATGTCTTACAGAATACTCTCTACCTTTCCACCTACTGGCTTTACAATCTCTGGGTTTACATTTAAATCTTCAATCTACTTGGAGTTGATTTTCATGGAGGACGGGGGTAGATTAGAACCTAGTTTCATTCTTCTACATGTAGGTACTTGGTTTTTTCAGCACTATTTGTTGAAGATTCTGTCTTTTCTTCAATGTGCACTTTTGGTATCTTTGTCTAAAAAACAGTGGCCAAAGTTATACGGATCTATATCCAGATTCTCTATTTCAACCCACTGGTCTCCATTCTCTTGTTTGTGCCAACACCATGCTGTTTTGGAGTAACCTTTTGCAAGGATGTGGTGCCATGGGAAGTTATTGGTAAACTTTCAGCATTCCAGTGTTCTTTGCTTTTACATGAAAGCAATCTTTTGTTTTCTGTTACATAGTACTTCTTCCCCAAGAGCCGGGGACGCAAAGGAAGAACACACAGAAACTACCTGCAGGATGATAAAGGGGAGGCAGTTTTGTTTTACAAGAATAGCATTTACCATAGTTGTCACGCCTGCCTGTAGGTGGCAGTGTTTCCTGATGCAAGACAGCTCAGCACAGTCTCAAGCAGCTGACTCCCGGTACTCAGGCTTGGGGCTCCGTGGTACATCAGAGAGATACACATGAAGACATGGCAAACTGGCCCACATCATAACATCGGAATGGCTGCTGCTTCCTTTTCCCCAGCTTCTCTTTGTCCCGTCACAGACAGCTGGGCTTAGCCCGCATCAGTTATTCTGCTGTTTCCCCCTTCTAGCTACCATCGCCTGGCGCCTTTCTCTGTCCTCAGAAGAAAGCTGAATGCCACTTTCGAAGTGAGCAGCATTTCTGAGTTCCGGAGGTGAGTGCCATTCTCCAAAGCAGAGCTTCATTTCATGTTCTAGTGTCCGCTTATAAGATGTGCATGCTCCGCTGAGGTTATGAGTAACGCTTACGTAACATGTTTGCCCTTTGGAGCACAGATATGAGGAATGATTGTCTTCAATGTCATATTATTGTTTATACTGTTTATACTTCATGTCGACTGACAGGAGCTTTATAAACACCAGGAATCCGGTATCTTCCTACTTTTAAGCTCAGCTATAGTTCAGTCTAGACTGGGTCAATTTTTACTGATTTAATTAATATTTACAGCAATCAAAAATGATACTCACGTTGCTTTTCTTGGTTTATACTCAATATTGTAGCCTCGTTTCTAATGTCAACCTTGTTAGTTAGGGTTTCTATTGCTGTGAAGAGACACCGTGACCATGCCAACTCTTATAAAGGGAAAACATTGGGGCTGGCTTACAGTTTCAGAGATTTAGTCCATCATTGTCATGGAGGGAAGCATAGCAACGAGCAGGCAGACATGGTGCTGGAGAAGGAACTGAGGGTTCTACATTTTGATTGGCTGGCAGCAGCCAGAGACTACAACACTGGGCTTGGCTTGAGCTTCTGAGACCTCAAAGCCAACCTCCTAGTGACACACCTCCTCCAACAAGGCCACACCTCCTCTAAAAAGGCCACACCTCCTAATAGTGCCACTCTCTATGGCCAAGCATTCAGAGTCAATGGGGGCCATTCCCATTCAAATGACCACGAACTTCTGCCATATTTTAAATAAGTTTAAAAGTTCCCATAGCTAGTTTCATAGTGAAAAACTTTATTTAGAATTTGGAATATGAGTCCATTGATGGCAAACTTCTTTGAATATTTTTTTGCATTTATATTGGTGGAATATGAAACTGTACTTCCCTTATGAATGGTACTTGGTAGATTTGCTGGTGGGCCCAATAGGTAGCAAGTAGTCACTAGTTACTAACAACCAATGCTGCCCCAGGGAAGGCTCCCAATCAACCGATTCTCGGGACTTACCGGACAGAAATTCCAGTCCTGGTTTTCCACAACACCAATATTATTTGTGGGTAAACAAGGAGGAGTGGGACAGTGGAGTTACTACAGATAGAAAATGGCACCTGAAGTCACCCCAAAGCACTGGTAACATCTGAGTGGTTCCAGGAAGAAATGTAGGAATAAGATGGATGAGCTAGAGCCAGGAATCACGAGTTCATGAAGTGGGGCTGAGAGCAAGGGAGACCTGGTTCTGATTCTGGTCTGGAAGCAGAAAGGAGGACACCAGGTCGGGGACCTAGAGTGTCTATCAATCCTTAGATGGAGTCAGAGGGATGAGGCAGGAGACTAGGATGGTAGCATCCCCACACAGCATGGGCCCTCTGCAATTCTGTCAAATAGCCATAGAGCCCAAATCCAGGCACATTAAGGTCCAGCTGGAGAGACTTCACACGGATGACTCCCTGTGGATCTGCAGAGGAGGAGGCTGGATAATTGCTCTCCAGGCAGAATTGAGTGTAAGCTGTGGGTAGAGTAAAGCAGCCTCACTCCCAGGGGCAGAGGTATGCAAAGAGTCACATGGAAGGGTCTGGAGCATCTCCTGTCTCGTTCTGCTGGGGGAGGCAGGAGGAGAACAGAATGTCACATCAGTATCATGAGGCATGTCTCATATAGGGACAGTCTTTCTTTCCATCTCTCTTCCATTATTTTTCATTACTAAAGATTAAACCCAGAGCCTCACATATGTTAGGCAAGTACCTGGCGTTCTTTTTCAATTTCCTAGTACAAGTTCCTCAGACCGCAGGGTGCAGCTTTCTGGCACCTCAGCTGGATCATCACAGGCCTCCTGGGGCTTTCCTGTAGACTGTGGGATGCCTGGCATTTGCCACAGGCAGCTCTGTATTTTCAGAGCCCCCTTCCACTCAGCCAGCATCCGATGTTTGAGAGACATGTCCATGAAGACCAATGAGAGTTTGGGAATTTGTGATGAGCTAATGCGTCTCCCTGAATGCCCGTTCCCATGAGAAACCCCCTGTATTTTTCTCTCTTTGTTCCCAGTGACCCACATAATTTGCTTCCCGGGATTTTCAGTGTGTTTCTCTTGGTTCTTTATGGAATCCTGGTGACTAAAAGCAGATGTATACATTGTCACAAGAAAAGGAAACCTGGCTGTATTTTTCTGGAAGGAGACACCGCACCTGGCCACCAGCTGTATGCAGTCATTGTTGACACTGGCTTCCGGTCACCAGCCCAATTTACATCAAAGGTAACATGGACTCCTAACGGGCTTTTAGTGAGGTCTAGGAGAGTAGAGGAGCCTGGAGGGCAAAGAAAGGATGACGAGATGATTTGGTTGCCCTGCCAATCACCCGTGACCACTGTCCTATTGAAATGTCAAGGTGACGCTTATCTACAGTTTCCACTGTCCCCCTGCATATTTGTTAAGACAGGACCCACACCTCCTGCCCCTGGACTCCCCGCACCCTTTCTGCCTCCACGGTGAAAAACGGCTTCAAAGATAGTGGGTCTCTGAGATGCTGAAAACTGGGTTGTACTCCTCTGAGTTAACACTGAATCTGTGACCCACCTCGGGGAAGGATCTAGTGAGAAAGGGGTAAAAAGTTCCCAGGCTAGCCTTCGGGCAAGGTGGGAATAGAGCTGGGTTGGGAGATGGGGCCAAGGTTAGAGAGTTCAATGGAGAATCAGATGAAGATGAGGTTGTATGTGGGGAGGAAGAGGAAATGGTCAGAGGGTCAAGGTGGAGTTCAGCCTAGCAGCCCAGGGAAATGCCTAGGCCAAGGTGGGCTATGGAAGAGAAGTCGGCAAAGGCAGGAACAAACTCTTTCAGAGGCGTGGGTTAGCGATGTGCGCTACAAATCCACCAGGAATTCTCCACGCGTGCTTGATACACTTTTTTCTAAAAACATGTCTGCTTAATGGAACCCATAGGACTGGGGGCATGGGAAGTGAGTGTGGCCTCCTCTAGAAGCCAGAAGATAGAGCCATGTGTTTTTGACATGCTTGTACAAAAGCAATGTAAAACAATTAGTTCTGCTGAGTTAGATCAGCTTGTCAGGTTCATGATCAGGGTGGGATCCACTCACCCATATGGAGTCAGTGGCTTCCAGTGTGCATGACTGGAGGCAGGATTCTCCTACCAGTCCCCAAATGATGATTACCTAAGGTGATTGCACCTAACACCCACAGGAGCACCATGGCAAGAATTTGCTTAATATTCATAAAAGACCTAAATAAGTCATTGCTATCTCTATGCAGCAACAGAGACAACTAATTTCTCACTGTTATAAATCAATAGAACCAATGATAATGATGACAGTGTGAATTGATCTGTTCCTGTGCCCACATTACTTGTTTTATTTGAGCTATTGTTTTGTTTGCATGTGTTCACTGGTTTGTTCAGACAGGATCTCACCATGTAGCCCTGGCTGTCCTGGAACTTGCTATATAGACTAGGTTGGCCTCAAATTCAGAAATCTAGTTGCTTCCTTTTCCCAAAGGCTGGGTTAATGGTGTGTTACCACACCCAGACACACTATCCATTTTACTGAAGAAAAAAAAAACCTTACATATAAAGAGATTAAAGCCAATGAAATCAACTACAATGTCAGAAAGATGTCTTGTGGAACAGAAACTATTGATTCTAAAATTCATATGGAAGGGAGCACTAGCACATAGAGAATAAGCATAGGCCTAGCAATCTGAAAGAGAACAGCCAGGGAAGAGCCATCACAGTGTAATGTCTTCTAGGGCTGACCCGTAGACTTATGGGACAGCTAGACACCCCGAAAATGACCCAGGTATGTGTCAAAGTCTTATTGACCAGAGAAACTGCTCAGAAAAATGTCTGCAGCAATCACAGTCCCTACAAAAGAAAACAATGTAAAATCTTTAATTGACATTGTATACACACACACACACACACTAAATGAATGAATTTCAGAAGTCTAAAAAAAGAAAGATAATAATAATAATAATAGTACCTATTTAAAGCAAAACTATTTTGGACTAGAAAAGGATTTAAAATACAAGAGACGGGCCAGACTGTGGTGGCGCATGCCTTTAATCCCAGCACTTGGGAGATGGAGCAGGATGATCTCTGTGAGTTTGAGGCCAGCCTGGTCTACAGATGAGTTCCAGTTCAGCCAGCACTGTTACACAGAGAAACTCTGTCTCAAGAAACAAAAACAACAAAAAAGACAAGAAATTAATATTATTTTAATGAAAGATTAAAATTACACCACAGCAAAACCGAAGCTTTCTGAGTGGCAGATACCAAGAGAGTGATATGTGCAGTGGATGTGATTTCCTAGGGTGCTCCTTGTGGACATGGGTACCCACCCACCAGCCCTGGACCCACTCTGGTGTCCTGCAGGCCCAGTCCGGCCACCATGGCCAAGGATAGGAGATGCTGCCCTCTGTGGCGTTCTGCCCTGCTGAAGAAGAGAAAGGCTGAGGAATTGCAAAGGGGCTCCTGCTTTTCCAGATAAGTTTGTGACAAGCTGGCTCGTGGAGGAGCCTTTACATTGCAGGATGTCAGCCCCAGTCTGTGAGGACTCTGCAAGCCATGCAAGTCCCCCACAGTCCCTGAGCTCAAGGCTGAAACCAGCCAGTAGGGAGCTGGGACAGCGCAAGGAAACACTGTCTACAGAACTCCACACCCTCAGTGACATAGCCTCAGCTCTCATTTCTGTGTCTGTTTTAAGGTCTTCATTGTTTTATGTGGTGAAAATGGACTCTCAGAAACCAAAGAACTCTGCTGCCCAGAGATGTCCTTATTTGGAAGGAATTCCAGGCACACCTTTATACTGAGGTACTCCTGACACTGCCAACCACATGTTATGGGAAAGGGGCTGGTCAGAATGGGGTACCACAAAGTTGCTGCATAGAGAACATCGGCTTTCAGAACATCAGGCCTAGAAGAATGCTTGCTGATGAAGCACAGAGAGCAATGAACTTGGCTCACATACGTACAATTTTAGGAAGGTTCTAGTTTTGCTTTTGTCTTTTTTAAGGTAGGGGTCTTACTACATAGCCACCGCAGTCCTGAAATTCACTATGTAGCAGGCTGGCCTTGGACTTGCAACTGCCCTCCTGGCTCTGCTGCATGGGGGCGGCAATTACAAGCATGTATGACATATGGAATAAATTAACACGGCTTGTTTACATGGGGTGGAGTGGGGGTGGGGAGAGAGATGAAGGCAGAAAAAATGGTGGAGGCTCACTAAGCTTATGTATTAGAATAAGTGTTCTTTATGTCACAAAACCTGATTAAATTAATTAGTGCCACCACCCCAAACCTGGAAGAGCAATGCTACGTGACATCCCAGAGATGGAGTCAGGGGAAGAGGCCATTTATCAAGGGAGAGGTGACCTTCACAGAAAACATGAAAATAATGAAGTCTTTTCTTCTCATGGAAAAATGTATAATGTCTATTATAACTTACTTATATTTATTATTTTGGGGCACTGTTTTCATGAGGAAAGTACAGGTTAACGACAGACTAACTCACATTAGAACAGACAGATGTAGATCCAGTGACTTAGTTTAAGGAAGTTATAGCCATTGCATTTTCAAGAGATGTGTTCCAGGTCACAGAGTGGGTCCCAGAGTCAGCAGACAGCCCTGAACCCTGAACCAAGCCTTGAACCTTGGTTGTTCTTTGGCATCCAGGCCTGAGATAAAGTGTGAGTTATTAATGAGGCACAGCACAAGATAATCAATTAATCATAACAAAGTAGAATGGCTGGAACACCACAGTGCGATGAAACTTTAAAACCTAGGGATCATTTATTTCTAGAATCTTCCACTTGGTGTGTGTGTGTGTGTGTGTGTGTGTGTGTGTGTGTGTGTTTGGTGAATAACGAAAACCATCAGCTTACTTGCTGATAATAAAGGGGTATTACAGTAGATCCCAAAGGCCTGTGTGCCCCTACCAGTCACAATGCTCATTGGAAACCACAGTCCTGAAGGGCCAGATCAGAGCTGGTGAGGTTTTTACAGGTGCTGAACACACACGACCCATGAGACATTTCTTTGCGTCATTAGCACCCCTAACCAGCTGGGTCCACTCCAGAAAATCCACCTGTGGCACGACAGTAGTGGACCGGCCCCAAACTGGTTCGTCAGTCACGTGATGGTGAAGGAACTACACTCAGGCCAAGGCTGGTTCTTCTCTGCCCAGTGCTGGCTGGCTGTGAGCCTATGTGATGGCCGTGTGCATAGAGAACTCTTCTGCCTGCGCCGTGGTCTAGGCTTCTGGAAGGTAGGCCCCATGCGGGTGACCTGTGACATATTTGGTGAGTTCTTCTGCTTCTCTTTCCAAAAATGCTATTTGAACTTTCCCAAAGTTATGTAGCCAACTGTCAAGATAAGATGCCCATGTCGTGTGGGTTCTCCTGGAAAGATGCAAGCAAGAGCTTACTCATCCCAGATAGGTAGGGACTGATGGCACACAAAAGAAATGGCTCCTTCCAAGTCTCTCTTGGTTAGCCAATTGGCTTATGGATTACTTACAAGGGTGCGGGTGACTCGCCAGAGGCTACACCACTAAAAAGCCAACCCCAGCATGGGCGGTGGCACTAAGGTGGCCCCCCTGGGACTCTGCACTACTTGCAGTAAATTCTCTCCATAGCGGTGGCTTACTGTTTCTCTAACCTTGGAGTGGATATCTAGGACTCTCTCATTTCTCGAGCTCCTGGGTCTTAGCCCCTCCCTCCTCCTCCGGGAAGGGCTGCTTCAGCTCAGAGGAGATAGCTGCAGCCCACCACACCACAGGTGACCTGACACTTGAATCACCTCTCCAGCTAGCATGCAATCAATGCCTCTGCCACTTAGCAATCTTTACAGGGATGCAGTTCTGCAGTCTTTGAGTTGCAGCAGTAATAAATTTCTCGAGCTGTTGCAGGCTGGTGATCTGCAGTGTTCAAGAGGACCCAAATTAGAGATTTGTTATTAACTCGTGTACCATAAACAAGTTCACTGTCATGGAATGCAAACAGGTCATGGCTGCAATGTCAGAGGGTCGATGAGTGCCAGTAGGTGACAGACTTGTCATTACCTCACAGACGAAGTATGAAATTTTGGGTTCTGAATATTCCCATTTACTCCCTGCTAATGGCTCACTGAGAAACATTCACATTTTATATTCAATGTTTTAGAATAAGCCTCTTCATGAATTTCCCTTCAACTAATTTACAGGCCATACAACGGCCCACTGTGCACTGCTATTTGCCCAGGCTACAGCCACAATTTTCCTTTATCTCCATAACAGCAAATGTCACAAGAGACCTTTCTCTGTGAGTTGTGTTTCTAAACAATGATTTCTTTTTAAAAAAAAATCTTACAGCATTTTTAATTATTTGCTTCATGCATGGGTGTGTATGTACGTCACCGCCCACAAGTTGAGGTGAGAGAAGAGCTTACAGGAGCTGGTTTTCTCCTTCCCACCATGTGGGTCCTGGGATTGGGCTCAGGTCACCTGGCTTGGCAGCAAGTGCTTTTACCCTTCGAACTAGCCTGCCAGACTGACATTTCCTGGCCACTGGGCCTTGTTCTTTCCGTTGTCACCCAGATTAGCACAGAACTTAGAACATGGCCAATATGAATTTGAAACAACTGTTTCCAAACAGCCATGGTCCCTAGGAAAATTTTAGCTCTTTAAACTAAAGGCTTTTGTTTAACTGCGACATCCCTTGGACAATAATCGCCATGTTTCCCCCTCCAGCTGTTGGGCTTGAGATCTTTAGGTGAGAAACCTAACTTTACTGATTTAGTCAACTGTGAACCCATATGGCTGGGTCTCTGGAATCAGTGGTCCCTTAGGAATTTACATGCAAAAGATACACCCTTCATCTAGCAAACCTGTTTCAACAGTGTTTGCTGATTGTTCTGATTGTGTGTTCGTAATATCAGGTCTGTGTATAAATAGTTCTTTTCTATAACGTTTATCACCAAAAATTATTTAAGTTGCATTGAGAATCTTATAATTTGGAGAAATTCCACAAGGTACTACCAACTTCTGGGCAGTAGACCTTGTAAGGCTACCGAGCAGAAGACAGGTCAGTCCCGGCTCTCGGTGAACCCAGAATTGGTGCCTAGCTACAACAAGACAGTGTTTCTGTAGGAAGTGCTAAGAGTGGGGAGTTTTAGAAAGTCTTTTGGCGATCAGAAAGGACAGAAATGGTGGGAGGGCCAAGAAAGGAGGTCTCCACGAGCTAGCACAAACGAAGCTGGGAACTAGTTGGGACTACACTTTTGGAAGCTTCAGTAGGAGGCTGGACTGGGTCAGAGTCCAGGTGGTGAAAGCAATGTCCAGTGAGGTGCTGCTTAAGAGGTGGTGGGGAGGGGAGGAAGGAGGCAGAGCAAGTGACCATCTTAAAAGAGGCATCCACCTGCACCAACCCAGTAGCCAGGAAAGATCCAGCTATCAGCTAAGAGAGAAAAGCCAAGCAATTTTGGAGTCCCATTCTAAAAGCTGCAGGTTATCAGTCAGGATTTCACTCCGCTCACACGTGTGTTCCTGTCTGGGGAAACACCCGTGCTTTTCTGTTTCAGCTTTTCTATGCCAAGTTCACGGAGTACCTGGAGGATTTCCACATTTGGCTCTCACTGTACAGCCAGCCCCCCTCCAGCAGCTACCTGCACACACAGCGGCTTGCCGTGGCCTTCTGTCTCCTGTGTGTCTATTCGTGCCTCACTGCCCTGGTCACTGTGGGAGTCCATGAACAGGTGGGGGGCAGCAGATTTTCCCACAGTAACTTCCAACTCTCAGGCAGACAGTTTGTCCTTCTTGTAACGTGTGAAACTCAGAGCTCCCTGAGGCAGGCGTACGCTAGGGGGCGCAATCTAGAGATGCGCTGGGTGGGCCTGCAGGTGACATGACCGGAATCAGAGCCCCAGAGAGCCTGCAAGTCAACACAGCTGCCCTGGGAGAAGTCACATCCTGGGTTCCAGACAACATGGCATTCGGGGTGAGGGGAAAGAAGCTACTCTTTTTGAAGGCTTATTTTTTTAATCATTTTTTTTTTAAATTATGGGTACGTGTGTAACAAGGAGGAAAAGAGAGTACCGTTAGAGTTCAGAGGAGAGTTTGGACTTCTTGAGGCCAGAGTGACAGGTTGTTTGTGAGCTGCCTGATGTGGGTGCTAGGAACCAAACTAGGACTCGCTGCAAGAGCGATGCATGTTCTTAACCGCTGAGCCATATCTCCAGCCCAAGGTTGTTGTCTATGATAAATGCAGGATCATTCATGGGACCAGCCCCGAGGTTCACACGGTCCTCCAGACAGCTGGAAGATACACGGATAGTAGCTGGGTCAAGACTGTGTCAAGGGTGTGATGAGTCTTTATGTGGCAGCAGATATGATCACACTTAAAGATACACAGAATTTTAAACTATAACATGTTGGTAGAACTTGTGACAATAAGCAAAAGATGACAAGGATGTCATCAAGTGGCAAGAAGACGTCTGCTAAGCTCCCTGGGAAGCTGGGCTTCCCTGGGGACCTCTAGTGTCTGATCCAGGACGCAACCTCATCCTCTGCTGGGGGCAAAATGACGCTCTTGGCACCGTATTATGGGACTGTAGTCAGGACGTGATCATCTGAGCACAGGTCTTGTGGGTGCTCGGTTAGCATTTCTTTGGCTCACAAGGATGTGTCTATGAGGAAAAGCGCATTTTGTCTTGTTCAACCCTTGGGGTGGAGGCAAGGCTGGGATAAAGGGGTTTGGCTGAAACAGGAGTCACACTCACATTGAATTCATTTGGAACTCTTAATTGCCCTGTAATTGAACTGCTGCAGCGCCCGCTGGATGTGGGTCCCACTCTGGAATCCTTCCGTCTGGGTCTCCTGTGCACCTTTCTGGCCTGTCCAGCTGCCCAGCTATTGTCTCTGCTCTTCAGGTTCAGCAAGGTATGTGGCCCTGTGCTTCTGGGGAGACCCCCTGATGTGGGGTGCCCTTACCAACCTACCTCTTTACTCCACAGGAAGCTGCAGAGCATCTTCCGGGTGCAACACAGTGGCCTCTAAGAGGAGTGAAGACAGAGGTACCTCAGGGTATGGTGAACCAAAATCAAAAGCTTCCCTGGCAGCTGGTCCTCAGGGGCCAGTCTCTTAAGTAGGTGGCACAGCCCTGCTTTCTGTTTGTCTGGTTCACTGAAAATAAACATCATCGGATGTACTTAAAGCCACTTTTTTTTCTTGGATCACTATCCCTTGTAGACAATAATCTTGTGACCACCATTTTCCAGAATCATATGAACTATAGCCAGCTACCCCATGGCAGAAAAGTGTGTGGGGGGAGCAAACCCTTTCTTCAGGATCTCACTTTTCAATAATTACCGTTTGAAAACCTTGTATAGCCGCACTGATCATTCTTTCTTCTTAAGGATCTTTAAGCTTTTAATGGCACACTTTTCTCCTGCTCTGTGGCTTCCAGAGAGTAGCTCTGGGTGGCTGAGGGCTTGTCAAGGCCCGTACCAGGATGGAGACATCAAAAGTTCTCCTCTCAGCTCTACCCTGTCTCTCAGACTCTTTCTGGGGGAGGGGGGATGAGAGGGAGAAGCAGCTCCGAGGGTACCATGGTTGTGCCTCGGTCAGAGTCACACATTTGTTCCCCAACCCCAACAGGCCCTGATCGCAATGGGAGACCAGGTTTGAGGCAGCCATCCCAGGTAAGTTGACATGGCATGCAGTCCCTAATTCTACAGAGTAAGATGCTAAAAACTGGATTTCTCTGCCATCTTCCTGTGGCTGTGGACTAGCTGTGCTTGGATCCGGAGAGCAGCTGGGGCTGGTCCTCCAGAGAGTGTAAGCCAAGTCCCAGGTTGAGGAGTGGGAGTGACAAGCAGGTGGGGCCAGGGAAGGGCAGCATCTGAAAAGTCCCATGGGTGTGTCCAGTGAGATCCTGATATCCTGTGGGAGAGAAGGAGGAGATTGTGACATTCCGAGACTGTAGTCTATGCTGCCCTTTCTGTAGACAGGACTTGGGAGCCAGGTCTCTATGGACCCAGAACTCTATGCAAATGAAGGACAATATCTAATGTTACTGTGGTTGCATTGTGCTGGGATTTTGCTTTGGGTATCTGTGTGCTAGTGCCCTTGGGTGTTGGTGCCCTTGGGTGTTGGTGCCCTTGGGTGTTGGTGCCTTTGGGTGTTGGTGCCCTTGGGTGGTGTTGTATGTTTTCTCTTTACTCTTTAAGTCTTTTGAGGCAGCCTGCAACCCAGTTCCCAAATAAACGATTCTTAGTTATGATCACCTGGCCTTAGCTTGGCTTGTTTCTGGTCAGCTTTTCTTAACTTATATTGTCCCATCTACCTTTTGCCTCAGGGCTTTTCCCAATTCTCTTACTTCTGTAAATTTCTCTCTCCTGCCTCGCTATTGGCTGTTCAACTTTTTATTAGACTAGCAGGTGTTTTAGACAGGCACAGTAACACAGCTTCACAGCGTTAAACAAATGCAACATAAACAAAAGTAACACACCTGAAAATAATATGACCCAACACTTGGGTGCTGGTGCCCTTGGGGTGCTGGTGCTCTTAGGGGGTTCTCTGTGGTGGTGCATTAGGGCTAACCTGATTCCCACACTTTCCAGGCAGTGAGTCAGTCTGCTCCATAGGTCCACACCCCATGTACCTACCTATGCAAGGCTTCCTCAGGCCCCACTTGTTCTGTGTGTCACATGGACCCCCGACCCGCACCCCAACTTACTGGGGTTCTGGCCTTCATCATCCAATCTTTTCCCTCTGGTGGGTTTTGCAATCTATCAATCTGGCTGCCGGGAACTGCCTGGAGGCCACCAGCATTGGCCCCACGGTAGGAAGAGGAAATTGGAGTTTAGGTACAAATGGGCTGACTCAGAGAAGACATCCTTCAAAAGCCATCTGAGGCCCCTGCTTCACCAGGCCTGCATCTGGCTCTGCGCTCAGACTTGGCTGCAAAGGGCACTAATGTTGCAAAAGTGGCACTGACTGGGCCTGACCCTGTCACAATTCCAGCACCCTGCATCAGACATTCTCCCAGGAACTGACAGAGCTTGGAGGATGGCAGCCAATAGCAGTGGTGTGACCTGTTCACCCTTTCTTGCTCCGAGAGAGAAGAGCCACCACCCTCCTCCCAGTTCACAAGGTAATGGCACCCCACGGCTGTATTGAGTAGCCCCCATTTCTGCTGACAAAACAGGGGTCTGTGCCCATTCAGAGAGGTAGAACAAGCAGAATGAACTTGGTCCAAATGTCACTAAACATCCTAATCCCCTCAAAAATCCAAGCCTGGGTCTGAGTCCAGGCCGATTTGAAGCCATGACATCTGACTTCAGGCCAGTCCTGGTGAGTCTGACTTATAAGCTTGATCCAGTGCTCTTAAAAGTCAGTGTGAGACCCTACACTTGAAATATTCTTTAGGTCAAAGCTCTACTTTTTTTCTGTGCAAATTAGAGTAACAGCCCCATCCTCGGATTAGGTCAGATGTTCACTGAACCAGAAGAGGAGGGGAGGCTGTGCTAGCAGAGTCAGTGAGTCCTGCTGGAACCAGGGTCCAGGAACTAGCTTCATCTGGTCTGGTCATTGGAATTGAAGGGCCTGCTGAACCTGGCCTCGTAGGAATGGAGGACAAGGGTGTCAGCGTGTAACTGCAGGGCTCTTGGGCTGCAAAATATATGGACAAATGGTCAGGAGAGGCTTTGGGCAGCAACTGGACTGTAGACAGTGGTCAGCAAGGTCTATGTGCTCAAAATGACCAAGGCCGTGCCTGGCGCGCACAGAACACACTGGGGGAGAAGGAAAAGGTCACATCTAGGTGCAAATAAGCACTCAGCTAGGCAAGAGTATAATAATAGTACCAGCATTGGCAGGCTGTCCCAAGAATCCTGGCTAAATATTGCTGGGCAGATAGATGGGCTGCAAAGCCAGAGGTCAAAAGTGAGGAGTTCACTGTGGAATATGTAGAGAAAGGACAGCTCAAGATGACCCAGCTATAGCGGCCAACTCCAAATTCCCACTGCTACCCCTGCCCTTCAGGCAAAGACTGATGTCCCAGTTCAAGGATCATAGTCAGGCAAGTGGACCTCCCTTTGTCCGATTGTTCTATTTATACACTGAACTGATTGATTGAGGCCCTATCCACATGGCGAGGTCTATCTGTTTTGTTTGGTCCACTGACTCAAAGGTTATTTTCTGGATCATCCTCGCAGAGAGAACGCAGATACTGTCTGACATTATGTTCAGTACCCTGTGGCCCGACCACGGTGACAAACTCCCATAGCACTGTAGGTGAGGATGACAAGGTCTGCTAACCCAGTGGTCTCTATCTTGCTCTTCCTTAGCTCCCAGCAGTGGTTTTGAAGGGCGTATGCTCCAGTGGTCAAGGGTCTGTCTGCGCTGGTCAAGCTCTGTGGTCTGGGCCATTTGTGGGTTGACGTCCCTGGCCTGTGGCTTGGGGACAGGATTCCTAGGCTACAGGTGAGTAGCTGAGGTTTTCAGACAGCCTCAGGTGCTTGGTAGATGTCCAGAATCTGGGAAGAGACTCGTGTGTTTCGGGCAACTCATACAGTCACCAGAATCACTATTTTCTCCTATACTCCACCTCTTTTGAAGGGGAATACAATCATATGCAAACCCCAAAGGGTCACTCAGCCCTGCCTGGTCTTCAATAGAAGTTCTGTCTAGACAGAGTCCTGAGTACCAAACTGTTGGGAGCTGTGAATGCCTCAGATCCTGAATTTCTTGTAAACAATTTGTAATGTTTGCAGCTCCTTTGAGCATGAAACCCTCAGGAGTTCCTGATGTCAAGGGAGTGGTTTCTGGTAGGTTTGGCTGGGGCATGTCTATCAGTTAAGGATCCCTATATAAGCGGCTCTGGTACACAATAAAGAGGGCATTCTTGTTTCAAGGATGACCCGTGTCTCTGTCTGTGTGTCTTTGTGTGTTTAAATCTCCAGCCCCTTACCCAGTTTGTGGTTCACAAACTGTACGGTAGTACGTAGAGCACAGATGGGCGTGGTGCGCTATACCAAGCAAGAAGCTTTTGGGGGGGGCACCAAAAAGGGAAGAGCATTCTGCCACTAAGCTCATCAGAGGATCTTGGCCAAAGTCAACTATTTGTTATCTAGTGTTGTCTGAAAAACAAAATGTATACTGTTGAACTGGGCTGTGATGATTCATCCAAGATCCCTACCAATCCTTCCCACATGTTACCTCTTCACGTAGCTCCTGTGTAGTTTAGGTCACCCCTGAAGACCATAGGGCCATCCCCTATGGCTCTGGAGAAGCCTACACCATGTTTTTAACCCATGAGGAGGAGAAGCCACCCAAGGCCCTTTCTTCCTGACAATGTCTCCTCTCCTAACTGCATTCCTGACCATTTTGTGAAGACAGTACAGACACTAGACTTTCGTTCACACCTCAGTTTGCTTATCTGTAAAAGAGGGACTCTGGGTGTGCTTAATCCAGAGGTGTGGGGTGAAATACAGAGTCTCGCAACACCGTCACTGCATTTCCCAGTCCCTTCTCTGCGCCCTGTCCTGTCTTCATTTCAGACCCTCTTACACTTGGTGCTAGGACATTTCAGACTGGTTGGTATCCCCTCAACAAGGAAGGACTCTGCTTTGATGGGCAGACAGCCCTAGCACCCATCCTGCAGCCCCTCCTCAACCTCCCCATGTCTCCCAGAAGCGGAAGTGGAAGCATCATTGTCCTTTGACTGTGACTGTCATCATGGGTAGCATACTCCCATGATGCTGACCTACCCCTCTTCCGGACAGGTTTATGACAGAGCAGTGTATACAGTGGCTGTACCTGCTGCTTCTCTCTGTGGTCTGCTGCGTATTTGTCACCCAGCCACTCATGGTAAGAACTCCTCTGCAGTGCAGGTGCTTTTGGCAGTGGGGAACTGGGGAGGGACCCGTGAGGAGAGGGCCCAATGGGTGTGTTTTGGTGGGGTGAATCTTCTCTATAGTTTGATTTAGGTGTGACAAGAAAATCTGGGAGCCAAGGCCTGGGCTAAGCTCCAGCTCAACCTGGTGTTCAGAATCCTTGTTTTATTTTAAAAATCCCCAAAGAGATGAACCACCTTGTCTCTTGTAGGTGGAGATTGCTTGTTCATTTCCCAGCTGACCAGAACCAAAAAAAAAAAAAAAAAATCCCACAGAAACTGTATTAATTACAATACCGTTCAGCCAATGACTCATACACATTTCTAGCTAGCTCTTACATCTTGAATGAACCCGTTTCTTTAATCTGTGTATTGCCACGAGACTGTGGCTTACCGAAAAATTTCCAGGTCCTTTTCCTTTGGCAGCTACATGGCATCTCTCTGACTCCGCCTGCTTCTCTTTATATCTCTGTTCTGATTTCCCACCTGGCTTTATTCTATTAAGCCATTGGCCAAAACAGCTTCTTTAATAACCAATGGTAATAAAACATATTTATAGCATACAGAGGGGAATCCCACATCCATCTCTATCTTTAGGTTAGGAAGCTGTGCCCTAGAGGCCCCGGGTCTCTTGGTGAAGGCCGTCTGTGCCCTAGAGGCCCCAAATCTCTTGATAAAGGCCACCCCCGGTGACTAGGTGCTAGGGACTTCAAGGTAGTTGCTTCTGGTTATCTATTTTGAACTGAGATGAAATCAGCTGCAGTGCAGGACCAGGAAGATGGTTCTGTGTGGGAAGGGCACAAACAGACACCTGTGCCATGGCACCTCTCTTCCAGATCTGTTTGGCAGCGCTGGCCTTTGCTTGGAAAAAGAAACATGACAGTCAGTTTTTTACTGAGTCTTTACGAGATGCAACCAAGAATCTAGACTTGGAATTGGAAGAATACTCCAGAACCCACCTTCGTCTTTCTCCCAACTCCCATAGTCCTGACAGTGCTGAGGAGGCCGAAAGGGTGAGCTGGAGGAAGAGGCTTCAGAACCTTTCCCACCATGCAGATGGAGCTCAGACCTTAATTCAAATTTGGCTGCCCCCCACTTTTTTGGAGCCCCAATGTATGCGTATGTGTACATTCCTTCTTTCCTTACCCCAATCAGAACCACAGGGAAATGAGTGCATTTAAAAATGTAGAGGCAAATGCGAAGTATAATTTCTGGCCACAGTTTCAGAGAACTCCTAGACCATTTGCTTTTCAACGCACATAGAAAATATATAGCTTCCCTGCCTCCCCTGGCTTCCGCACAGACTGCAGTGGTCTCTACATCCCAAGAGCAGGTCCGTAGCATGCCTTCTCTGACCCCATCCCTCATCACCACGACTTCTGATCAACTACCTACTCTCTACACACCTGCAGGTCCCCAGCTTCCCTTCCGTTGTCCGCGCAGGCGCCCAGGTAGCCAGGTCCAAGCCTGAGGCGGTCAGCGAGGTTCCTTTGCTAGCTGGTGTAACCTCGGAACTGAGAGGCCTTTGAGAAACTCAGTCCTGCTCAGGCTTGACTCTCCACGCCTTCAGCGGTGATGTCCCACCTGCTAGTCTCCCTAGCGCCCAGTCACAGTGCGCAGTCCTCAGAACACAAAGCATGGCTGAAGCCCAAGCCCAACCCTCAAGGCTCACCTTCTGGTCCTTGCTCTATATTTCTTAGAAGCCCAGCAGCTCTGGGAGGAAGGACCAAGGGCCCCAGGGCTGCACGGTGAATGTGCCTGGAATGGGTAAACGGATGAGTGAGAGATGAATAATGGGAGGCCTTTTCCCGTGAGTTTGGCTCTTGCCTAATGTTAGTCCTGCCCATAAACAGATGTGGCTACAACATGGAAGCCATGATGCTTTTATTACACAAGGCAAACAAAGGTCATTTCACACTAAAATAAACTGCTTTAAAATCGCTTTTCCAGTCTTGGAAGGTCTTGAACAGGAACTACTATGCAAATGACAAAAGCAATAGCTCCTGTGATTGGACAACAGTGGGCACGCCTCTACTGTGAAGCTCAGCTTTGTAATGGCCCAGATGCAATCCTTGCCAAGGGGGCTGGCTTTGGACATGAGCAGAGTTTTTAAACAGGCCCACTGCATCTCCCATTGCCTCCCCAACAACACAGTCTGTGTTAATTGCACCAAGTACCCAAAGGCAGGGCAGAGAGCAATCATGATGGCTCTTGGGTCGGCAAGAACACTAAAAGCCTCTCTTTCTAGTGCCGATCCCGGTATCGTGGTGCTCTCCCTGCCTCACAGGTCTTGGCTGTGCGACAACGAGACCACCACCTGCGCTGGGCTCAGCCACCATCCAGGGCCAAGTTCAGAGTGACCAGGGAGAGACTGAGGAAAGAGAACCGGATGCAGGCAGCACTGAGGTGAGTGCAAGCAGACCCGAGGTGGGCACAGGCAGCCCCAAGGTGGGTGAAGGTCAGAATACAATGGACTTTTTCTGGCACTACCTTCTTTAAAGAAGGAACAGTAAGAGACCTCAGTCTGCACTTGGGAAAATCCTTTCCCAGGTCTCGGCCTGTGCCAGAACACGTGGGACCGAGATTGGAGGAAGAAAGCTAGTCTGTCCGTCACCTGCCTGTAATCAGTGGCCCAGAGTGCCGGCCCTCAGTTCCCTCAGCCATGCAGACTCACGTGTATCACATTTAACCCCATCACATCCCACTCTGCTCAGCACCAGACCTGGCATTCTACCCCTCCGGCTGGATGCAACAAAAATCCAAGAGCAAATGTTGCACCTCCTCATAGATGTGGCCTGGGCTCAGGGACTGCTGTTTGAAAATAACTCAACATCATTTACACAGACATGTTCTGGGGCTCAGCATAAAATACAATGCACAGTTTTAGATCAAACATGAAGCTTAATAACTGAGACAACCCTCTCCAAATTAGACATCAGCCATGCTTCTTCCTTTCGTTGGTACCCATCCCCTCCCCATCTGAGGTGGGCACGAATAGCAGGTCCTGAAGGAACCTTCTGCAATTACCAGTGAACACATGTCTCCCAGTTCTGAATTCTAGACTTCAGATTTCTTGAGTTTGTCAAGTATTTAGAAGCTCCAGATACTTTCCCCACAATGGTGCTGCTAAAGTATATAATGTCACCTCCAATTAATCGTCTCTCTTAAAAATCCTTCCTTATCACCTGCACATGGTCAGCTCCCTTACATAAATAATGATTCTGAAGCAAATCCTTTTCCAAAGAAAAAGGCTGTGGCTTTATTAGGATGTCACATTTCAAATGAATGAAAAAAGAATTTCAGGAAGACAGGGCACTGACAAAGATTTTGAAACCTGTTCGGTCTCCCTATAAAAGCAGAGTAGTTAAATTACCCCCAATTAAACCTACCCAAAACATACATGACAGACCTAAATGGCACCCACCCCTCACCAATCCCCCCCACACATAGACACACTTACATGTCAAAATCGCATAGATAGGGTAAGCATTGTGTACCCAGTGCCTTGAGCACCGCACCTCTGCAAGAGCAGGACATGAAGGGAACTGTAGACACCTGAGCATCTGAGAACAGAGGGTGGGCAATCGGGAGCTCCTGAAGGGTCTTTCCAGGGACTGTGCTGCCACATGCATAGCTCTAGTTCACTGCAAACAGCCTGCTGGCAGACAGCAAAAAAAGGCACATGCTTCTGAGGTAACAGTCAGTGTTAAAATTGAACCGTGGGCTGAGAAAGTAGAGAGTTCTGTCTATAAACTGCTCTCTGTACAGCATGAGGACCTGAGTTTCACCCCCAGGGCCCATGTTAAAGGCAGGCACACACTTGAAATCCCAGCGCTGGGGAAGTAGAGACAGGAGAATCCCTGTCTGGCCAGCCTAGCAGAATCAGTGAGTTGCAAGCTCCTAAGCTCCGGGGAGAAGCCTTATCTTAAATATCAGGTAGATAGCTCATGAGAAGCAACACCCGAAGTTGTCTCCTGGCTTACACTCACATGTGCACCTACACACGTGAAAGCCTGCACACATACACTCAAGTGATATAAAGCAGTTATTCTGCTACATGCCGGCAGTGAGGAATACTTGAACCTAAGTACAGGATCATTTACTGTAGCGCTAAGAAATCCAAGTATGCAAATGGAAATGTAAGCAAGCATCAGGGGTCTGTAAACCCAAACCCACAAAAGTGCACTGAGAAACAAGACCGAAAAAAGAAGACACTACGCACATCAACTCGCAGAGGGCAGTGCATCCATGCGTTCCAAGGTGATCTGCAGATTCAGGGCGTTCACAACCCAGATACCTTAGGCTATGCAATTCTGATGTCAACAAACTGGTTCAAAAATGAATAAGGGAACAAAAGAGCTAGAGTAAGGACAGTTATGCTGAAAAAGAATGACATTAGAGGGCTGACTTTGTGCAATTCTAATACATACGATGGAGCTGCAGAAACCGCTGTGTGTTGTTGGACAAAACAACAGTCACAGACCAATGAAATAGATACCCGGATCAATGGAACAGAAGAGAGAGCCCAGAAACAGCCACGCGAATAGGCCCAAGCATGTTTATTGACAAAAACATAAAGACAATTCAATGAACAAATAAATAGTCTTTCAATAATGGACCTAAGAAAGCTGAATATTGATAAAACAAAAGAACAAAACCAATACAGAGGTGTTGAAATCCCACCTCTAGCTAAGGAACTATTGCAAGTTGTTATATGGTGGGAGGAGAACCAGTTTTTGTTTTTGTTTTTGTTTTTCTTTCTTCCTTTCTTCCTTCCTTTCTTTTTTTTAAGGGTATGGCCTAGGTAGGTGGACCAAGCTCCAGTGGTAGGTCACACAGTCCAGAGTAAAAGGACAGCAATAATTGTATTTGATGAGTTAAATAAAAATGAAGATGCAGGTTGGATGGATAGGGAAGGTGGGTGGATCAAGGAGGAGTTGGGCAAGGAAAGAGCATTGTGTAAAGTTCTCCAAGAATTAATAAAAACGGGGGAGTGGATCTTTTAAAAAAGACAAAGAGTAAAAACTTTAGTCCATCCCATAGATGTCCTGCTCCCTAAAACACATTCTGTGAGGGAAGCAGGTGTGTAGACACAGAGTGTCCCCAAGGATGCTAACTCTCAAATCTCTCCTCCCAGAGGCATTTCCACGCACAGTCTCATGTTGCTGCTGCTTTTGTTTATAACACATGGGAGAGTCTGCCCGGGTGAATATTCTCTCAACCAAGCCATCAGGAAGGCATTTACAAGGTAGGAAGCTCGAAAGGCTCTTGCAGATCTGGGGGGTCTTGCACTAGTTTGGGGGGCTCTTGCAGATCTTGGTGTTGTACTAGTTCATGGGGCTCTTGCAGATCTGGGGGTGGTTGCACTAGTTCAGGGGGCTCTTGCAGATCTGGGAGTTGTACTAGTTCAGGGGGCTCTTGCAGATCTGGGTGTCTTGCACTAGTTTGGGGGACTTTTGCATATCTGGGGGAGTTGCATTAGTTCGGGGGGCTCTTGCAGATCTGGGGGTTGTACTAATTTGGGGGCTCTTGCAGATCTGGGGGTGAAGGACCTTGCACTAGTTCATGGTCAATGTACTGACACCCAAAGAGAACTCCAGGCTCTGGGTTTTGGAAACTGTTTCATTCACTTTGTTCCAGAATAGGGAGCCCTACGGACCCTCTACCCACTCCTTCAGTCATTTTATCTATACAGGCTGCTCTTAGAGAAAGGTCTTCATGGCAGCCTGCATATGAAGTCTGGGAAAGTCTGTCTAATTCCTCATGTTAATAGAAGGTTCCATTTGCAGACTCTGGACAGGTGCTTGGCATCTTATTTGGGGTCAATGGTGAAAGAAATTCTCAGAACAAGAGGGTCATACCATCTATTTTGCAGAAAAAAAACAGTATTCTTTAAACAAAGGCTGCAGTCACAATTTATGATTTGTGAAGTCCAATTCCAAAGGGCCAAACTCTGTCAAGTCTCAAGTGTTCATTTGCTTTTTTTACTTTTAATGCAACAGACGTCTATCACAAGTAAACACTAACCAAGCGGACAGCCTAAGGCCGAGGCACACTCTCACGGCATCCGCCATGTGGATGTTGTTGGGGCCTTAACACTCCTGAGATTAGGATGTGTAAGGCGATGAGTGGACACGCTTAGTAGAACATGCCTTTGAAAGTGAATTGTGCTAACCCAGGCAATTTCTCCAAGGCACTTTGACTCTAGAGATATGAATTATAAATATTTACTTTCTAGTGACAGGTAGTATAACAACGCTGCAAGTTCAGGGGGTTTCCTTCCTCTTTTTGTAGAGAATATTTTAATGCCCATTCTGTAGCAGTCCTATGAATTTGATTCTCATTCAGTTTTACGTGAATATATTTGTCACCTTTGGGGGCAGGAGAGTATGGTAATAAAATCCACCTCGTTCTTTTGATTTAAGGACATATTTTAGATTCTGTAAGACAGGGGAACACTGATCCCCTGTTAGATAATGACTCACAGATGCTTTTATTTTTATGATTTGAGTGCTCTTTAACCAGGTACAGCCTGGAAGTCCCAGTTCTTGGACTTTCCAGAGCTCTGTAATTTTGCCTATTACTGCTGCAGCTCTAGGAAAGCTACATGGAATTTTCTGCGCCCCATTTGGCAAGGCCACAGTTACCTTCCACTTTGACAATTTGGTTCCTTCCGACTGAACAGACGCATAGACTGTGTCAGGAGGGGGCGCTGTGAGCAAAACAAAGAGACCCTGTCGGGCATTTTTTTGTAGACCTGGAAATCAAAACACTAGGAACACTGATTTGGCTAATTGACTTCTGTCGCACATTACCTGATTTCCTTTTTACTCAATTTTTTTCATATGCCTCCTGGTAGTCAGTTCAGAAATATTCCCGCTGAGATAATAAGCTGTATGATCCCTGTGTGCTCTTGGGCCTGATAGACTCAGGTAAAACACCTCTGAGAGGTTGACGCAGGTGGGCTTAAACACCTTCTACTTCCCAGAAGGAAGGGAAACCTCACTGCCTCTTGCAGCTCTGGTCACCAGCAGGGCCATATTTATACATCCTGGCGCAAAATGGAGTGTTTAAAGAGGACCCTGTCTGCCTAACCCATCCCCCTAGTACCTAATCCTAAAAATCAACAAGTCCAGAGAGGCTGTTATTTGTAGCATTCCAGAGAGAGCAAGGGCAGGAGAAGCGAATCCTGTGGAATCCAGGGAGTGAGCGCTCTCTGGCTCCCCGCAGCAAGCAGTCCTTTGGCTCCAGGGTGCAGTGTCCTCTTCCATAAAGCTCAGAAGATGCCAGTCTAGATTTCTGTCTTCAATAGCAACAAATTACTCTAATAACAGATTGTGGGGCATTTAATCTGTATTTGAAGTGCTTCTGAACTCAAAATCTTCGTGAAATCCCAAGTCAACAAAACAAAGCTAAGCCACAAGCCAGGCTGTGGTAACCGAGGCCAAGTGAGGGCTCCTTCCCAGGGCGCTCGCTGGGAGATGATGGCTCCTGTCTGGGAGATGATGGCTCCTGTCTTTCCTCGCGCTGCACTGCCGCTGTGGGCCCATTTGGTAGAATCGCTATAATCAGTACACACAGGACCCCGGCATGCTTGGATCCTTCCATTCACCCCCTGTTCTCCAGAGTGCCTGGAATGAGCAAGAGAGGATTCCTGTGGCTGGGGATGTGTGAGCGCAGGGTCACCACACAGGTGTTTCTTGAATGATTTCCCAACAGGAAGCAAGTCTCAGAAAGTGATAACTTTTCTCTGAACTGTGCAAACTTGAACTAGGGGTGCAGTTCAAGCTTAGTATGGGCAAAGCCGCCCTGGGGGTGATTTCCCAGCAACCTCCAAAAGTATTGTGTATAACTGGAGAGATGGCTCAGCGGTTAAGAGTACGACTTCTCTTCCAGAGGAGTCTGGTTCTGTTTCTCACACTCGTATGGCTGCTGACAATCTCTAACTCTAGTCCCAGGGAACCCAGTGCCCCCTTCTGGCCTCCGAAGGCCCCAGGCACACCTGTGGTTCACAAACATGTATGCAAGGAAAACACCCATACATATAAAAGTAAATCAAATTTTAAAAGTTTTAAGTATTGTGAAAACTCAGCATGGCTATGAACTGTCCACTGGTTTGTGTTTTAGAACAGGTATGGAGCATACTAAGAGATGGGTATGCAGTCAGCTTGTCTGCCAAATAGCCCTCCCTGCCTCCAGCTCTTCCACCTTCTCTTTGTATCGTGCTCGCTCCCAAAGTTTGTAAATATTTTCAGGGCTTTATCTGCGCCCCTACTCCGACTCTGCCCCTTTCGATCCTCCTTCCCAGGCAATGCACTGTTTCTCCATCACAGCCTCTGGATATCTCCCACTTGCTCAGAATTTAACATGACATTTGGCCAAATTTTCAGAGAAGTGTGAGGTTGAGAGCTAGCAGTCAGTAGGGGGCCTACATAGATTTGGCTCCAACCATACAAAACAAATTCCTGAATGGGTGGGAGATGATCTCTACTCAAGAAAAGGGAGCTAGAGGGGGAGAAGACTCTGTGGTTAAGAGTGTGTAGTTTTCTTCAGGGGGACCCAGGTTCGGTTCCCAGCATCCATGTTCAGCAGCTCACAACTGCCTGTAACTCCAGCTGCAGGGGATCCAACTGGAGTTACATTTGGCCTCTGCAGTTTCCTGCACGCGTGCGCGCGCGCGCGCGCGTGCGCGCGCGCACACACACACACACACACACCGAGGACGGGTGCATAAATAAGAATTTTGAAGAAGAGGAGGACAAAAGAAGGAAGGAAGGAAGGAAGGAAGGAAGGAAGGAAGGAAGGAAGGAAGGAAGGAAGGAAGGAAGGAGGGAGGGAGGGAGGGAGGGAGGGAGGGAGGG